TCATAAAAAATTGACAGAAAATTAGTATCATTATTATATATTTATCTATATCACTTAATTAACAAAATAAAGTTTGATTTTTCATTTTCAAATCCGTGAGTTTAAGGAATAAGATATTCTTTTGACCAGAAATAAAAGGAATAAAATATTCCTGATTTGGCATATTAGTAATGTGTAGAGAGATTTGTGTATGTATTTTTAATGGTAACCGAACTGAAGAAGGCCTTTTGTCTTCTTAACCAAGTAGAAAATATTGAATAATCTGTTGTCTTCTTCAGTGTGTCTTCTGCGTTTGCAATTAGCACAACACCATTTTTTATTTTTATATTTTGACTATATTCTTTTTTCGTGCTACGCGCAGATTATGTACTTTAAATTTATAATTTATAATTATATGAATTATGTTATTATATTTTAATTTATGTGTATAATTTTATTTTTGTTTTTAATAGTCTTATTAATCTCATAATTTATATATATGTATATTTGAATATTTCTGCTATATTTTATATTTGTAGCACACAATTTAAATTAACTATAGTTTCCTTTTCTATAGTAAATTATTATTTTGCGTTTTTTACTAATTTTTAAAAAAAAATTATTTAACATAAATACTTTAAAGTGTGTAGATGGTATTTCTTTTTAACTTTTATGTGTTTTATTTATTATAGTAAAATCAAATAATTATTTCGCATAAAATTATTATAAACATGGATTTTTTCATAATGAATTTGTTTTTTGAATTTCAACAGTTTTACAAATGTAGTCACCAAATGCAATAAAATTATAAAGTTGCTTGATATTTTATATAGTGTAATCAATCTAAGCATAAAATATATACTCAAATAAAATAATCTAAGCTTAATTTAAATATATGGAAAAATCGGGCTAAAATCTCTAGTAATAATAATTAATGTAAAAATCTTGTTTAGTTTAGTTGAAAATGATTAATGGAAAAACCTTATTTAGTTTAATTGAAAATATCTAGAATTACAATAACGTTTAAATCAGCTAATATTTTTTATAAAATCTTCATTTTCCTTCGAATTTGGGAACAAAGAAATAATGCAAGGGACATAATATTCAAACAAACAGCTATAAAATCTTAACCTTTTCTATTTTGTTAGTTTTGGTACAATATATAATATCTATCTAATAAATCAATTGTAATATGCTTTACAAAGTTGGTTAATATATATTTTCTACTCTGTGATTATAATAACATTCAAATTTTAATCCTAAATTTCACATGTTGATATATATTGTCTCTGCTATTTGGGTAACGCGGTTGAGATGTGAGTTGGCTCGTACATCGTTAGTTGGGCCGAGCGAATTATCTTCTAACAGGCCGAATATGGTTTTCTCATGGGTTTTGAGGGGTGGACACGACCCACTACTACAATAATCATGCATCACAACTGGTTTATGCTCCATGTTTTTGACCTTGGAGTAGACATAGTTCAGATCAAACGTCATAAGAATATACGTTTCACAACATGATATGTAGCGTTATCAAATCCCAAATGAACTAAAGCACATGATCTCCCTTCACAACTGACAAACGAGTCAACCCAGTCAGTCTGTCCGACCCAAATGAGTCTATATTGGGCTGTTTAAGTCTGGGCCTAAATTGTGTAAAATAGGGTTTTAGTTAGGGTTTTAGTTGGGTTTTTGGGTTTTGTTTTAACAAAATTGTGTGGCCCACGAGATGATACTACAAGTATTTTACATCCTTGTATTGTATTTTTTTCTTTAATGCATATACTAAGTTAGCCTTTAATAGAGTCTCAAACCGTATTTATAGGTTGATCCAACTTTTACTTATTTAACTATATTAAAATTATATATTAATGCTAATTTTATTGATTAAGTCACACTTATGCATAGAGGTTTTTAAAATTAGATTAGTGTTGTATGTATGATAGGGGGAATGCGAATTTCGATGAATAAATAATGGGAACATGATTAGACTCCCGTGAGCGATGGCTTTGGGAATCACTAACAAATAATTAGGCGCACCTAATTGGCTTTTTCCCTTAGCTGGAGTCTACTCCCCACTCTAACATATCATTAATTATTCGATTTTATTATATACTACAACACTATGTTTTAAATATCTACTGAAATTCAGATTTAAATATAGTTTTTTATGAAATTAAAATATAATTTTACGGATCAAATACACATTTTCATCATAATTTTAAACAATATAGATGCTTGATCATGTGGCGTACAACAAAACACTTCGTATAGCCACCAGGAAGTTTTGTCTGGCTTGTAATAAACGATGATAATCACATGATGGATGTTATAAACTCGACTCCATTGTCAGAATCTGATTAACCTTTGAAGAGAAAAAAGAACTGTATTTTGTTTGTCTCAGGATGCCGTGTATCTTGATAGTTTTCAGACGTGTGAATGTGTCATAGTTAGGCCGCTGCTTAAAATATTTGCCCGTCCCTCCAGTACTTGCCCAACATGTCTCAACATCTTTGAGACTATTTTAATTTGTTTTGTTAATAACATAAAGTATTATAAGAACTTTTAATCCGAACTAAAAATACAACGTTTACATAGTATCAAGAATATGTAAACAAACACTGCAACTATCCATCTTATTTTAAAAACCGGCATTGGTCTAACTATCACATATAAATTTACTGATACTTAATATAAATAGATTCTGTAATAGCCAATTAATTATCTTATTCTTAGTCTAGCTAACTTACAGATGTTTGTTACGTAAATCAGCATCAATTTAGGTCTGCTCACCTTCCAACCTAACTAACATAAGCAATGATAAATTTATCTTTTGGGTATAACTTAAATAATCTCATAGGCAATAATGTGCCAACCGGACATAAAACACTGCAAAATTAGTATCATTGCTATATAATTCGCTATCAAAATGTGTATACAAATAACTAAGACCAGACTACTGGTTTTTTTTTAACAAACATTTGTGCCATCTAAGGACAACATTGTTTCTATTGGTTTAACTAATTATTGGTGAACACAGTTTTAAAATACATAATTAAAAGAAAGTCTTTTCAATTTAAACAACGAATTTGTGGTAATCTAAATTTATTTTTCATCTGAGATTACCTCGAACAAATAATGAAAATATATATGGATCTTTCTAAATGAGAAATTCCTAGAAAGGATAGGCGGTTAAAAAGCAAAAAAGAGTGTAAGTGGATTTATCCCCATAGATTTTGGTAAAGAAGATTACGACCTAAAACCTGACAGGCTGACACATAGTGGTGTTAGAGTCACGCTCCCTCACAGCTGGGGAACATTATCATTCATATCACCAACATGTGCTCATTCAACTCTCTCTCTCTCCCCCTTAAACTTAGTAGTATTAATTCTATATTTAATATTATGTAAACAACATTATTAAGAAAGTGATGAGTATTTTACCAAAAAAAAGTGATGAGTAATTGCAAGTTTACTTTTATAAGTACGTAAGGAGCTTAGTAAAAGATATTTTCATAAACATAGTATATAATAACAAAATGCTACATATTATGCTTTTGGTTTTGTGTTATGGGGACTACTTAGGGCATCTCCAACCCAACTCCATTTTTTACTTCAAAATGGAGTAAAAGTGATTATGGAGTAAGAAATGCTCCAACTCCACTTCATTTCTTACTCTATAATGAAATTTACTCCATAAATGGAGTAATCTATTTTTTGTTTGTTCACTAATCCATTATGGAGTTACAAATAGAGTGGGGTTGTAGCATTTTTACTCCATAATCAATTTTACTCCATTTTAGAAGAAAAAATGGAGTTTTACATTGGAGATGTTCTTATATGCCAACGTAAACCACTGGAAACAATGTAGGAGTATAAGAGCATATGCATTGGTGTTGCTCTAAATAGAATCCTTAGGATTATTAAAGTAGTTTTTTTTTTTTTTTGAATAGTTAAGGATTCTAATCTAAATTTTAAGTTCAATGGTGTTCTCCAATTAAGAGTCCTTAAGAATAAAAAATAACAACTTTATACAGCAGCATCACTTTCTTGATCTAACACCTACCTTGATCAGGAAGATCCAGGAAGATCCAGCAGCAGCATTGGCCTTTGTATACAATCCAAAACACTGTCTTGAACATAGAGGTACATTACATGAACAGAATGGTCCTTGCTATTTCTATCTCTGACTGTATCAAGCTATAGATTGTTCTCATCTTCGTAGAAATTCAAACCACGGTAATTTGTAGCTTTTAAAGCTCTTCTAGTTTCTTCCACTCAGTTATACCAAACGAGGAGGGTACTTCTTCTTCACAACCCTAGTCACTCCTCTCGCATCTTACCAGCAGAGCATTTGTCTTGTTCAATTCTTTACAAATCTGTTTCTTCCAAAGATACATAACAAGATTGATAAGTATAGTAATAAAGCCATATAGTAATTCAAGTGCATAAAATGATAATCCAGTCTAAATGTTTATGGCTAATCAATCAGAAACAGAAGCACAACAAAATAAAAGCAACAAGCTAACCTCTGTCACTAATAATGCTTTCTTTTACCAATAAAAACACACTAACACCGATCAAAAGTCTCTTCTAAGTGCCAAAATCAATATGAAGAGGAGTAGAGAAGAGTATACACTTACTTTTCTGGAGATTGATTTTCTCATCGATGCTTTACAAGTATCACGCCTCTTCTTCATGTCTAGATACTTTCTTTGCCACTAAAATACAGTCAACAGTTTGATTACAGGGAAGTTCAATACTATACCTAAAACATCAGTTTGATTACAGGGAAGTTCAATACTATCTTCAGCTCTTCAAGCTCTGTGAAGATAATCAGTAGCTGTCTGTGGGAGATCAAAGTTGAAGATATGAGTTGTTTCTGGTAGATCAATCCCTCTTGCTGCAATATCAGTAGAAACAAGAAGAAACCCTCCTCATTGTCGAATTTCCTACGAAAAAAATAATGTTAGTAAACAAAGAGTAAGCAAGCATCCAGAGGAAAACAGAACAATGTACTGTTAATGAAGCTGCACGTGAATTGTGAAATTCATGTCTTCCTCTAGTAAGAGAATCTCTGGAGAGCCATCATATGCACGTGAACACCTTTCTCCTCCATAACTCTCACTCTCCATAGCCTTATCTACTGATCCAGCATCACAATACGACTTAATCAACATCCCGTAAGAGACTTTATCAAGAGTGATGTTATTATACCTCTGAGGCATTTCGTCGAACAGGTGGGGGACTCTTTTGAACAAGTCGGAATGGAGACAAGCGGTGAGCAAGGCGTTGAAGGAGACAACGGATCTGGGAGCTCCGAGCTGTTCCATCTCTGTTTTGATTTGTGGGTCTTTCTTGCAAGACTCAATTAAGGCTTCGACGTCGGAGAAGCGGTTGGATTTGGCGAGGCGGCAGACGGTGAGCTCCATGGCGTAGCGGGAGGGGAGAGATGAGGCGTTGTTGGAGACTGATTTTTTTCATTACCGGAAACACAACTCTGAGCTGTAACCTACCAGACTCTAACACGTGTCCTAAGGATTCAGTCCTTCGAACCTCTTAACGACGTTACGGTCCTTCGTAAATCAGCAATTAAACATTTTGTTTTAATCCTATTTGTCTTGGTTTTGAGGCTAAGGACTGATTTTTTGTGCCGTTGCGCTTGCTCTAATATTCTATAAGCACGTAGATGGTATGGTCCGTCAACCAAGAAGGAAATCCACGGACTACGGCACTATTTCGAAGACCAAAATATAAAGTTTGGATCGAGGTTAAATTCTAGAAATCCGGTCTCTTTAATTATTAATAATCCTACTTTAGTAGTTTGTTAGAATATTTTGAAGCTGAGTTTGTCCTGGTCACGGATTGTCAACTTTTTCGCATCTTTTTTTATGCTGGATACGACTTCTTCTTTGTTGGGCTGGGCAAGGGATGCCTAGTTGGTATTATTTTTTAGGGTTTATAATTTTGGGAGACACCACTGTCAAAGGGAAACACCTACATTTTACCATTAAAAACTAAGAATGCCAACGAAGAAGGTTCTAATTATTGTAGGCTGAGAATTATCACTTTTATAGTTCTTACGATCAAATTATAGACGGGTTTAGTAATCGAAAATATATCCTCAACTGATCCTAGAAATAATTGAGCTTTTTTAGCACAGGCATTTTATAAGCCATACATTCAACCTAATAATCTTGACTTTGAAGATAAGATTATTATCGGTGAGACTTTGCATCTCGAAGTTGATTCTAAAATTCTATGATTTTTCTGGAGGAAAATCACTCTCTATGTTATTTTTTTGTTATTTTTTTTTAATTTCCATACCAAACATAGATTCTACATCCACAGTTAGTTCAAAGAAACCATGGGCGGGTTTTGGAAGCAAGTTTATACATATGTCACACGCTCTATATTGTGGTGGGAGGGAGTTAATGATTTGCGACAGGTGTTGTAGAATGTTGGATCTTGTTTTGGTGCAACAAAACACGAAATAGCTAATTTTGTTTTATTTTTGTTCATCTAAACATAAACAACCAGGAATATAAATCAAGACTCCGCATATGGAAATACAACAATTTTAAAAATATATATATATATTTATCAACCAGAACCATTACATTAAGTAATAAATTGCAAGAAGATAATTATAGAAAAAAACAAAAAAAAACTATCAGCTCAAGAAAAGGTTGTCTTTGTGGGACTGCTTGGGGCCAAATGAAAACGAAAACTTTGGCCCTTGCGAATAGAGGACAATGGCAGTTACGTAGTTTCCTTCATATCTTTCTAAAGGGTACTTTCGTAAATCACAAGCTGACCTTTTCTCGAATCCGATTACGTGGCAGCCAATGCAAGTGCCCACAAAAACACCCAGCTGATTCATCTCAAATCTCAGCCGTCGGATCAGAATCCAATTCTTTTCCGAGACGGCAATAACCGGGCAAGTTGTTAAACAAAACAAAAAAAACCCCAAACCATGGTTAAGTCAATTAACCCTATACACCAAGCTTCCCAAAAATACAAAAAAGGTCACAAACTTCACAATAATTACATAAACGCCACTCATCGTCCTCAGCTATAAATTCCCCTCCCGAGACTCGCTAGGTTTGCCGAACCAACTACCCTCCGGGAACTCCTAAGAAAACAAAAAAGCTTCAAAAACATCCTTTCTTTTTCTCCAAGAAAGCTCTTTTAATTTCTCCAAAAAATTTCAAAAATGGTGATTAATTCTTCAAGAACGAGATCAAGCGGACCGGTGCTACGCTCTGTATCACCGTCCGGTCGTTTCTACGGCGGCTCGTCGTCAGGCTTCGCTTCCTCCACAAGCTCTAGTTTCTCGTCAACATCCTTTTTCACCTCCAACCGTCAACAACAACAACAACAGCCTCACCACAGATCCGCGTCTCCCACACGTGTGAACTTATTCGCATCTACGCCGTCGTTTCGTTACTCGATAGATAACAGATCCGTGTCCCCGAACCAATCCGTCGCCGTTTCGAAGCAGCCTAGCGGTAACAAGATCCCCGACTCGAGGAGGAGGTGTATGTGTTCGCCGACGACTCACCCAGGCTCGTTTCGTTGTAGTCTGCATAAGAACGTGGCGAATCCGCACGGACAAGGCGCGGCGACGACGTCGTATTCGAGTAACGGTTTGAATATGAGGAGATCTGCGATGACGAATTCGCTGGTGAGGATCGGTGGTGTTGAAGGTGAGTGGGTGAGAAGAGCGTTGACGACGCTGATAAGGCCTTCGTCGCATCAGCTGAAAAGGAGGTCTGCTTATCAGCCGAGGCCTAGTAGGTTATCGGTGATGTCGAAAGCCGAGGATGTTTGATCAGGTTTGTTCTTGTTTCTGAATCCGACACAGGAATATGGATCCGAGGCGAGCGAGCGGATCTGCGCGGACGGGTCGGGTCGGGTCGAGGAGTGTTAAATGGA